GTGTAGATATTTAATTTAGAGTCAGGCATGGACAAGTAGTGCCTACCGTTTGTGAGATTATGCATGTCATTTTCATGACAAGGCCATAAATTCAAAGAATGCTCTTAAAATTGTTAAGAGCTAGCCTATTGCCCATTCGAAATAGGTGGTAAGTATATCCTTGAACGTTCTATAGACAATGTTAATTCATGCTTAGATATCAGATATACTAGCGAGACGTCCTGTAAACAGCGCCTACCACCATTAACCACTTCTCTTTATCATGTACAGTCGCAACACTTTGAAAATTCGAGCAGCCCTCCTATTCACTAAAATAATTTAGCCCATCTCATTCTTTGTTAATAGATCTTTCTGGGTTCCCATAATCTTCCCCTTCACCAGGCATGGTCCTATCACAGGTGCTGTACTTTTCTTGTCAAATGTCACCTCATTCTGATCCTCCCTCATTCCAGGTGAAGAACTCTGGAAAGAAAACAGGAGATGCTGCACCCTCTGGAATCTGACCAAGCTCAGGGACAACAATGTCACCCAGCATATGGTGCTCGAGATTGTCGGCGCGATAGTATTCATCCAACCATCTGTATCTATACATATTCACCCTTTCTGAAAGGTACATAATATTATTTTCCGCGTTCTTGAGCTGTGCTTTGACACGACGTAGCTCACATTCCATGTCGCTGTGGGCCTCTTCATCCTTGCCTAGGTAATGAATTTTCAGACCTGTCCATTGTGTGGTCCTCAATCTCTGAGTCATCAAATTTCACCTGCCATCTGAGTTCCCGTATGGACCACTTGATTGTTCGGAAGGAATTGCCTGCATGGTCATTCTAGTTCAGAGTTACTTTCTGCAACACTTTCTTACTCACGTGCAGTCTGTGTTGTGCAGACCATCTATATCAGGGGTACTGTGTGTGTGCACATTGAGGCTTCAGGTAAACTTATGAGTCTGGTATGGCATAGCATGCTGAAGAGCTTACTTTAGCGTGATAGTGCTTCCAACATGGAAGCATTGTCGCAGACACTTTTGATTGGGTGAGCTGGACATCCTTAGTTCAAATGGTACGATAAGCTGCTGCGACAGTGCTAGTGACTTATGTATCTGTAAGCCCAATGTCTATGGCGTTAGGATGGCGCAGTATTTTCATTTGTGATACCTATGGCACTCCTGCAGCAAGGTTCTTTTTATCGTTACAGGACATATGGCGCTTGGATGGTGAGGTTTTTTTTTCATTACAATCTCAATGGTGCTCAGATGGCATTTCTTTTTTTAATCATGTTGTTGTCTGCTTGGACTTATAAAGTGTCTTGTTCATTACTTGTATCAGACCCACCTACTTTTCAACTTATTATGAGTAACGACAAGAACCATCCCTCTTCCAGTGATCCTTTGCGCAAGTGCAGTGGTTCTGCACTTCAATTGGGCCCACATAAAAAAGTGTATGTGTTCTTCTCAACGGTGAATCATTACCTTCCTGACCTGTCCTCTTGATCAGGGCTTCATCAAATCCCCTTGTCCTGCATGGCCAACATTTTGGTCGGACAGATTTTGCCTTATGCAACTATCCTGCTCTTCTAACTGCAGGGATCCTCCGACTCGAAGAATTGCAAGACTCTCCTATAGAGGATTACCCAGTGGAGTAAGTGTAATTATGATAATAGCGGTGCAGGACTTAAGAATACTTTCAATGTTAGTGTTTGACGTGAACATAGGGTGTTCATGGATTTAATAGATTCATATCCTGGACTTTTAAATCATTTGACCTCAGGCGAGGAAGAAGACATTATCCATGTGGGAGAATTGGTGAGTGTTTAAAATGCAAGTTCATCATACTGACCGTTTTGCAGCTAGGTAAAGGAGCTTCTGGTGCGTGAGGCAACAATACAAAAACTCTGAAGTCTGCAGTTCTTGAATGGCTTGTGCCCAGAGGAGAAGTTGTCATACCGCCTCTCTCCCAAAACATCAAGTCTGACCGTGGGTTTAATCATGAAATCACCAGTGCTGTTGCTCTGCCCTGCAGGGCTTGACTGGTCTGGATGCAGCATAAGTCTTTTCACTGTTCAATAAACTTGATATCATAACACTACGAGTCAGAATTAAGCTGAGCCTCAAGAGTGGTGAAACCGCAGTTCGTGGTGACCAGTGGCTCATGTTTCTTTATGCTAGGTATGACTATGATCTTGAAGATCCATGGAAGGGCTTACTCAGGAGCGAGATACTAATTTTCATAAGTTCATTCTCTTAGCGATGAACAACTCATTCAGTCATTTCCCTTTATAGGGTTTCAAACATGTTTTTACATCCCCAAGCTCGGTGGACAAGGAACCAAAAGCTACGCGCTCCAGCAATGCTTACCTTCACGGCATAAAATCTGTAACCAAAGGCTCCCTCGCCTATATTGCTACACAGGTATGTAGGAAATTTGATAAACTAAGCCTCAGCTCTGCTGATTGTACATTTAGGTTTGGTTTTCGTTAAGTTCATTGTCAGTATTTTCACAAACCGACACCGTCACGGACTCTGAAAATTTTTATAACAGCATTCTTGACCTGTTGGAGGATCCCAATGAAAGTGAGGAGGTTGTTGACCTCATGATGTGGTGGACGCAGGTTTGTAATTCATCTAATCAACTATAAACTCTCTAAGTTAACATCTTGTACAGCCGCATTCTCATGATTTCTTCATCTTTGCAGCGCAGTATCAGCGAAAACAGTGCACTGTCGAAAATTTGGGCAAAATGTGCTGCCTTGCAAGAACAAGCCAATACTGACACTACTTAATTTGTTTATGTTCGTACTGTACTGTGTGTAAAGCATGTTAACCCATAATGCAGTTGATGAATACTCCACCTTCACATGAAGCTATTGTAAGGCATGTAAGGTTATATATGTTTAACAAAAGTATTGCCACCTTGCTGTGGCAACATAACTGAGTGTCTGAACGCCCATCAATGTCATTGTTGGTAGCTTTCACCATCAGAAGCAGTCCCTGTAACAGTAGATTTATGTTGTAACAACTGACCATCATGCTATGGCATAGCAGCCCAATATCATACCCTGGCACACAGTCAGTGATTGCAGATTCCCCCATCAGAAGATGTCCATGTAGTCATAGACTTGTGTAGGTGGTACTTCAGCATTGTCATCAATGGCAGCTTTTGCCATCAGAACCTGCCTATCTAAAGCTTGATATCCTTGATGAAAATCACCATCTTGGTGGACCACGGTAAAGCAATGTCACACCCAGGCACCCTGTCATCAATGGCAGCTTCTGCCATCAGAACCTGCCTATTTAAAGCTCAATACCCTTGATGGAAATCACCATCTTGGTGGACCACGGTAAACTAATATCATGCCCAGGCACCCTGTCAACAATTGCAGCTTCTGTCATTGGAACCTGCCTATGTAAGATTAGACACACCTGACAATAACACACCAGTGTGTGAGTAGATCACAGCTTGCTACCATAGGCCTATCAATATTACAGCTATGGCAGATTCCACCTATGTAGTCTGCCCATCTATTCCTTTATCATATGGTCTACAATTGTGATACATATTATTAATATTTTACATTAGATAAAGCTAGCTAAAGCTTGGCCAAACTCCAGTCAAATGCCTGATGTGAGTGACTTGTCTGCTCCTTTTGGGAAGGCTACCCGGCAGCAAGTAGCAAAAAGGGAATGTGTGAATAGTGGTAGTCAGAGTGGACGATTTTGAGGTGATTAGGCCTGCAATTCAAAAATGATTTTGGACGCTGAGAATCGGATTTGATGTCGAATCGTGCTGAATCGTCAAAGCGCCTCAGGAGGCACTTCACACGATTCTGAATCGGATTTTAGCTGTACCCCTCTTATTTTACAATACCAATGTCTAATTAAATAGACTTATCCCGCAAGCAAGCACCTGAGCACCCTCTCTGCAGTCGAGCAGCATGGCACCCAAAAGAAAAGGTGTTCTGACAAGCATCTCCATTGACTTGGAAAGCTCAAAAAAGCACTCATAAAAGAGGCAAAAAAAGCACAGCCATGATCAATAATATCAAGTGCGTGAAATATATCAGAAAACAGATGAAACATACAGTGGCTCAAAAAACCGTCCGTATGTTTTGGCATTTTTCACTATCTATAATATTGTGTGAGAACAAACAATGCCTCAAAAACATGCTTATACCACATTGTAGTATGGCTTCAGGGCTTTCATTTGAGCCCTACACCGTGGGAATCGGCGGAGATATGGTGGAGATATAAGGCTTATAAAATGATGACTCATGTGGACAGTTTTTTGAGTGTATATTAAAACTATATAAATCATTATTTATGACACCATAAAAATCATGCCACTATTATATAAATTATAAAGTGGTGTCATTATGTTATTTTATGACTATATCTAACTATATAAACCAGAATATCTCATGTATCATAGTCATAATCACCATGAAAGCCATCTCCTCTGCTCAAAGAGATAATATCCTCTCTCTGTCTTATGCTGGCCTCTCTGCTCGCCAAATTTCCTCTAGAACTGGAATATGCAAGTCCACTGTGGCCAAGTTCATCAAAGAAAGCCACCCAGACAAGGAAAACTCTTGTGGAGGACGTCCATCCAAGCTTACCTCTACTGACAAAAGGGCTATTATCCAACATATCACTACAGGAAAGGCTGATAATGCTGTCTAAGCCACCCATTATATCAATTCCACCATCACTACCCCTGTCTCTTCACAAACTGTGAGGAATGTTCTCAAGGCAGCTCATCTCAAGGCAGTAACAAAGAAGAAAAAGCCTCTTCTCTCCATCAAACATAGGCAGAGAAGACTAGCCTTTGCCTTAGCTCATCAACACTGGACTGTAGAGGACTGGAAGCATGTTATATGGTCAGATGAGACCAAAATCAATAGGATTGGGTCAGATGGGAAGGTGTATGTATGGAAAAAGAAGGGAGATGGCCTAACAGACAGAGAGGTTAATGGGACTGTCAAGTTTGGAGGAGGTTCTTTAATGGTATGGGGCTGTATGGGATGGAATGGTGTGGGAATGCTTGCTGAGGTTGAGGGGAAGATGAATGCTGAGCAGTATGTGGACATTTTAAATGACCACTTGCTGCCTAGCTTGGCAGAATCAGGGATTGATGAAGAAGATATCATTTTCCAACAGGATAATGATCCCAAGCACACATCCAGAAGAGCTAGGGAATGGTTTGAAGAACATAACATCAATGTTCTTGACTGGCCAGCACAGTCTCCTGATGTCAATGTCATTGAACATCTCTGGGGAACACTCAAGAAAAAGCTTCAAGCCTATGAAAACCCCCCTAAAGGAGTATGGGAGCTTTGGGAGAGAGTAGCAGTGGAATGGGGGAAGATCACAGCTGAGGATTGCCAGAAATTAATTGAGAGTATGCCTAGAAGGATAGAGGCAGTAATTAAAGCCAAGGGAGGTCATACAAAATACTAGAATACCTGGTTATTACTGTAAAATACTTGAGTCAAAAAACTGTCCGCATGAGTCACCATTTTGTGAGCCTTGTATCTCCACCATATCTCCACCGATTCCCACGGTGTAGGGCTCAAATGAAAGCCCTGAAGCCATACTACCATGTGGTATAAGCATGTTTTTGAGGCATTTGTTTGTTCTCACACAATATTATAGATAGTGAAAAATGCCAAAACATACGGACCGTTTTTTGAGCCACTGTATGTATAACTCACCTTAGGAACTGTCAGTTTTAGTATACATACCTATTTATGAATCCAACCAGAATCACGTTGAGAATCCATTCTCGCTGCAGGGTGTTCAAAGTGGATGGTGATTTTCATGCGATTTTCGAATTTTGAATCGTCTCATAATCACATGCAGAATCGCTTCATAATTGTCCACTCTGACTACCACTAATTTACTGATCTGGCAGCAAATGGACTTTGTATAGGTTACATGGTTTGGTCGCGACTCAAACAATTATCAGTCAGGCTAGAACGTGAAATGTCTTCACCAGCTTGGATTCATACCTGCAGATGGACCAGACGCATTCGAATTTCAAGCTCTCACCTGATCATACATGTTTTGCACTGTTTTTGTTGATGTGATGCCAACTTAGCCACCTGACCTTCCCAATAAGCAAGCCTTACTATACTGGGTGAACATGCGTATCACTAAGTATTATTAGGCTTAGTTACTGATAATACCCAACACCAGCATTAAATCCTGTCCCAAATCACCCCAGACCTTAGATATCCCTTTATGCTTTTCGTTAAAGGTACATGTTTCTTTCAGGTGGGGTTCTCACGGCTCTTGCTCTTGCTCATCGTCGTTGCCAGTGCCCTCTACCGCCATTCCTATCATACGACTGTCCTTCCACCACTCCCAGTCTCTTCTGACTGCTGTTCTTATCTCCTGTGGCCCTCATCAACGCTCATTCCCTGCCTTGTCAACTTTCCTGGACTCTGTGCACCCTCATCACCCTCTGCGGCTCTACCCTTTTCATCCTTCCCTATCTCTGAGCCCTGTGGGCAGTCCTCATCAGCCTCTGAGGCTATTTCCCTGCAGCCCTCTCACTTTCGTTAACTTTCCCAACTTCTACTTTTTGCCTGTCCTCATGCTGAGTCTCAGTCTCAGCCTGTACTGCCCTCTCACATTCCCCAGGTGTTCTTCGTCGTCCTCACGCTGAGTCTCAGTCTTACCATTTACTGTTTGTCAGTTCTTAACCTCAGTCTCAGTCTCAGCATCTACCAGCGTTCTCACACTCCCCAGGTGCCTTTTGCCATCCCTACATGGTTTATAACCCCTTCCCTGGGCCGTACCACCCCGACTACCTCAGCCAGCACTGGGTGCCACCCAGTATGACTGGCGTCAGCAGTGGCACAAGCGAGGCATTGCATTGCCATTCTCTGGAGTTGACAGCATCAACGGAGAAGCGGGTTCCAACACATCTTCGTCTAACGCGTCTCCCCAAACTAGCAGTGCCACCAATGTCCCTGGCAACAACCCCAAACTCGCTGAAGAAGCGGGTTCCAACACATCTTCGTCTAACACATCTCCCCAAACTAGCAGTGCCACCAACGTCCCTGGCAACAACCCCGAACTCGCTGTATGTCACTCACCACCTGTCCTTCAAACCACACACACGTCTTGATGAACTGTCTGATCCACTCTACACCCCTCCTTATTGAAGGATATTGTCATGGGTTGTGCCTGCCGCAATGCTACCATCCCACACTGTTCATCTGGAGCGAGCCTACTTTACCTCCAGCTGGACATTATGTATGTGTATCTCCATTTTGTCATTGATCCTGCTCCTAATGTGCCTCGCAGAACATGCTACTAGACTTGACTGCATTCATTTTCGCCGTGGCTATGATACCATGTACCAAGTTACCTGCTCACATGATACTATAAATATATCTGTCGCTCATTTGATTGGCAGATGCTAAACTTTGCATATTGTGATTGACATGGCTAATAAGTACGTACTAACTAGAGCAACAACATTGCGGTATCAGCACGGTATCAGCGCCAGCCATCATTCCCAGATCAATACCCTCGAAATTCGTATCAAAGCAACATCGCGTCATCAGCGCCAGCCATCATTCCAAAATCCATATTGTTCGTAATTCATGTCAAACCCGATGCCCGCCATAACATTGTTGAAGTCTAGACCGCCAGTAGTTGATAAGTCAGGTGTGCCGAACATCATGTTGTCCAAGGATCCATTAGCAAAGAGACTGGCAGTTGCAAGCTCATTGGGAGAACCTGTATAAGGGGCATCAGTGGAGGCAGTAGCAGGCCTTGATGCCATTGTGTTTAAGCCGGTATGAGGGACACCAGTGGAGGCAGTAGCTGGTGCCGTTTCATCTTCGTCATCGCTTACAACCATTTCAGCACTCTTATAGGTCTTCTTGCCCTGAGAGCCACCCAAAGCTCAAACACACTTCTTCCCCTTGTCGGAACGAGTCCTGGCAGCGTTCTTTGGCAACTTTGCCACTCTCCAGCTTCTTATTGCGCTCTTCAAGAAGAGCTTGATACTCATCTTCATCGAGGCGCCTCCAGTGGATGGCATGGGACTCCCATTTACGCAAGAGCATTTCCAGGTCTGGGAGAGCGCTGGAGACACTGCTGAGGTTGACAAATGGTATGTTGTCCAGCCAACCTTCAATAATGACAAGGTACCGCTGAACCACTGTTACGCCAGTAGTTTGCCCAGTGCATCCTCGCCTCTGGATCCTTAGTGATCTCCCCTGGAAATTGAGATGGTAGTTAGTAAAAACACAATGTAAATAGTACATATGACCTACGAAGTGTCTTGTTGATCTCATCACGAATCGCACCATAATTGCTGAACTACATTTTTGATGGTTTTTTGCAGCACCTGAATAGTTTCAGCCGAGCATCTATTTGACATAAAATGATACTTACCTTGCATGCCTTGCACAGCAAACCCCTCCATCTTACCAACCAGGTCTTGATTGTCAATGTTCATCACAGTACTCATAAAATCGCTGACACCTTCGGTCGTGAAGATGACACCACAGAGTGGGCAATCTGTAGAACCACACATCGTATAGAGAATAGTCTCTACGCCTGTATGGGCCTGTAAGTTGGTGAGCTGGAAGCCATGTCAGCAAGTGCTAACAGCACAGATTCTATTATAACCACTTGCCTCATTTTCAACAGCCTTGAGGGTGTGAGTGACATTGTTAACCTTTGCTTTAGCCGAAATGTGGACACCACTGGTCTTGGTCTCCTTGTGTTTGGCATACTCAGCTAAAATACTGACCTTTTCGTCTTCTGTGAGCTGGTGATATTTGGTGCAGGTTGTCTTTGTCCTTCATGAGTTCTTGCAACACAGCCTTGCCTGTGGCCCCTTGGCATGTTGTTAGTTGGTGCCTGGCATGTCAGAGATGCTCTTACCATTTTCCTTCCCTTCATTGCACTTCTTCCAGCAGAACACATTCCATGCGTTCAACTTCGAACATTGGTAGCGCAGCATCCCACGACCCATACATAATACATTCTGGACACGGTGAAAAGCTTTTGTGATGGGAGGATGTGATGGACTTCACAGCCTCATCAATCTCAGTACAAGCACTACGAAGATCAGTTTTGAAGAGATTAGATTTATCACGACAGTGAGCAGTCAGTGCCACACGAGCCTCCTTGCTAAGGGTCACCTTGACACGACGAGGAGCTTGGGCTTGGATGTGTTTGTAACTATGAGTTCGCCATGAAGGACTGTGAAACCATTGGAACAGTCAAATTTTCACTGTCTCTTTCCACTGTCTGTGAATGGTTTTTATATCAAATGTCTCCAGCACACTGACATAAGGACAAACAATCGACATTGGATGATCTATGAGAAGAACAAATAAAAAAGGTAAAGTGTGCATAAGAAACTTAGGCTACCAATCACCCTGAAAATTGTTGAAATTAACGAGCAGGACGTCTATGAATTACGAGGGTCAGCAAACCTTAAGCAGCTATTAGGGGAGAAGAACCTTTGTAATTACTGCTGTACCCTGAATGTCTGCAATGAGGGCATGGGTGAGCTTTGATGCCTCCTCGTACATTAGATTTCACTTGGGAGAGTGAAGTACAGCCTCCCAACAGCTGCTACAAACCGATCCGATTAGTTGATGAAGCCTGAGAAGCACAGTATCATCCATTTTAAACCGGTCGATTATGGCATCCGTGTGTGGGCCAATGCTAATTAATGGTGTGACCGATGATGGTGCCTTCTATTTCCGGCCCAGGAACCTTCAAACCATCAGAAAAAAATGCATCAGCATGATGACAAAGACGGATCTTGTTCTCTCTAGGCGAAGCATTGACACATGGGGTAGTACCCTTGTTTGCAAGGGCCATCTCTCGCCCCTCCCGCACTGCAGACGATGGCGGTGTTTTGGACTCGAGGTCGACTTGGAGATCATGCTTAAACTGCCTAGAAGGACATGCCAAACAGTGAATGCGGGCACCTGTCACCACCATAGGTGCTGGTAAGTGCAGGGGTGCAGCAGGATTAACCTGACTTGCTGGGTCTTGACAAAGTGAAAAAAAACATTAGCTTATGGGAGAGAGACAAGAAAATACTGACTTACAGTGACATGGAGGGACAATGCCCTCAATATGACAGCGTTGAGTGAAATGTTGCAGGTGGGGAATTGCAAACTCTTCCCCAAAGGCCTGCACCAACACTGATACGTCTCCACCCAGGCGCTCCGGAGTTTTACACAATTCGCAAGGTGTAATGTAAAGATCCAGAGAGATATGTTCTGGCGAGAGTGCTGTTGTGGCTTCAGAGCCGTGGCAATGAATAAGAAGAGAAATCCCTCCATCGAGCCGGTCTTGCATCACAATCTAGTTGATCTCCATTAGATTTGCACAATGTAAAGATAAATAGAATTAATTGACTCACTGCATCAAAGATGTCCTGCAGCACTGCCTCAAGAAGCTCCTCATGTGTAATAGACTTCTCATCTGCCAATGTGTACGAGTTAAAAGCGATGTAGGAAGGATGAAGACCACCGCGTTTTCTCATATGAAAATGAGTGCCATTGATATGGGCGTCGTGTCTGAGCAGTGCATGTACTGCTGCCTGGCGTTCTGTGTTACTAAATCCCTCAACAAAGGAGTGGGGGTAGATGGCAGCAAGGCCGGTGAGCGAAAACCGGGGTCACATTGAGCTTGGGACATCATCATTTGCGATGGTAGTAGGCATATATGGTGGGCTTTGTGGGCGGTTGAGATTTATTGATTTTACCATGATAGATGATCAATGCTATTGAATGTTCGATAGCAAAGACTGTTGAAAATGATTAGTGTTATGGTCCTGTTATGTAGTCTGGCACCTACCGTAGTAAGTAATATTAGCATTTGATACATGCATAACTTGAACACAGGGTTCAACGTTCAATGCCAGTGGGTTCAATGAACTGTAGCTAGTATCAGCAATCAACCGCGAGTGTGATCTATGTTAGTAGTCATAACACACAAGGATTTTGATACCAGTAGGTTTGATGGACTGTAGCTAACCGTGACATGAGTGTGATATACTGAAGCCAACCACAACCCAATCTATCTGATCTACACAACATCAGTCAGCAGCAAAGCCAACCACAACCCAATCTATCATCTGCTCAAGCTCATCCTATCTCATCCACTCAAGCTTGTCATATCTTGTCTACTCAAGCTCGGCTTTCAAGCCAGCCAACCAACCACAACCCAATCTATCATCCGCTTAAGCCCATCTCTCAAGCCAACCACAACCCAATCTATCATCCACTCAACCTCATCCTATTTCATCCACTCAAGCTCGTCATATCTCGTCTACTCAAGCTCGTCCTATCTTGTCCACTCAGGCTCGGCTTTCAAGCCAACCAACCACAACCCAATCTATCATCTGCTCAGGTTCGTCCTATCTCATCCGCTCAAGCTCATCCTATCTCATCCACTCAAGCCCGTCTTTTAAGCCAACCACAACCCAATCTATCATGAACTCAGGCTCGTCCTATCTCATCCGCTCATCCTATCTCATCCGCTCATCCTATCTCATCCGCTCATCCTATCTCATCTGCTCAAGCCTGTCTTTCAAGCCAACCACAACCCAATCTATCTTCCACTCACTGCTCGTCCTATCTCATCCGCTCAAGCTCGTCCTATCTCAAGCTAACCACAACCCAATCTATCATCCACTCAGGTCTGTCCCATCTCATCATCAGTTAGCAGCAAGCCAACCACAACCCAATCTATCATCTATGCAAGCTCATCCTATCCTTCATCTGCTCAAGTCTGTCCTATCTTTCATCTACTCAAGTCCGTCCTATCTCAGACCGGCGACATATGACGATGATGATGATGATGATGATGAGTTGAATTCACTTGGTATACACAGCACAACTAGTCTGTAGCGGAAAATAGATAACTAGCAAAGTCCTCTGTAATCTGTGCTTTATCCTCATGCTCAATGACATTTCCACCATCAGATTCAAAAGATATAATATCATCCAAATCAAATTGAGTTTGGAAGCCTTCTCTATCAACACCAGCGGCGGAAATTTCTATAAGTCATCAGTAAGGGCATTAGAATCACCAAGTCTACAAACCAGTGTGTAGTGATGAACTTGTTACCTCTGACTGATCATGCAGCGACAACAATGAACTTCCAAGCTGGATGCCAATACCCCGTCTGCCTGAAAATGCACGCTGCGACTCCAGTTGATCTAATCGGAACAGGTGCATGGCATTGACTGCAGCACGTGCTTGATAACAATATTTTAACTCCACTGCCAGCGTGTGATCCATCTCGAGGAGTCGATGAATGGTTGCGGCGGTTTTGACTTCTTCATCTTGAATTGATGTGCGCAGATGATGGACCTCAACATTGAGACGCTGAATTTCTTCATGAGCATGTTGAAGCTTGAAGTATTTCACAGTGGCTTCACAATGAGCAGGCACAGTCCAATTGTGTTCGCGAATGTCAGTACGTGAATGACGCAAAAGGTCAAACTCACCAAGGAAGCTATATTTGACGATGTCGTTCCATGCCAGTTTCAGCCAAGGGGGGTCCAAAGCAATGGCCTGGGTGTTGTAACAATTGATGGTGTTTTGAATAGCATCAGAATGTCATTGGAGGGCTTTGCTAATTTGCTGCCGTAGTTTGTACCCTAGAACACACTGCAATTAAATCTTAAAAAAATGTGGTCCACAAAAATTAATTACCTGTCCCAGATAGTGAAAGTTTTGATAGTTTGAATAAGCGCATGACAACAAGGCGCTCGAGTTCATCAAGTGCCGAGCGATACTTCAGGAGTGAGGCTTCTTCTCGAAATCGATTATAATGCTCGCTTCCGATCTCCCACCATTTGTCGATACCGAGTTGAATTTCCAAGTGAGCTGCTAAACCTTCTGTGTTCTGGAGCTTGGAGTATGCTGAATCCACTCGGACACGAGCTTGGTTGAGAGCAATATGCATTTCAAATAAGTTGCCAGGGTGAATTTCAACAAGCAAGCGATTTGCCACTTCTCGTGCCAAGTCCCATTCCCGTCTCATTTCAACCATGAGTCAACGTACAACGAGTGCAAATTATCAAGACTTACTGACGTTCACCAAGTTCATCGAGTACATTAATGTAGCGGATACTGAGATAATCCTTCACTGGTGTCTGTTTCAGTCCATCAAGATATTCATGCTCCTGCGCATGAAAATGAATGAAGTCAGTGTCAGTGAGATTAAGGGCATCTTTAATGGCAGAGAGTTCTGCTGTAAGAGTTTGGATATCTGCCAAGGCCTCTCGATAATGATTCCATAGAAAAATACCTGGCGGGCGAATCACATTCAATTGATTAGATATCCGTAAAGATAGGACTCACTGAGGGCTGCATATTTATTATCATCCCAAAATCCGAAATGCTGCTCGATTGATTGACGTCGATGAAAGCGGTTAGCATGCCGAGTGCTTCGTGCGAGCTCATTTGACGAGGAAAATATATGCTCACATCCTTCACCCTCTGTGTGTCCAGTGCCTTTGATATACATGGGATGCCAGTCTAACTGGCATCTTCGATTATGGGCATGGCCATGAAATGCTCCTACCATTATTCGCAAGTTAAGGAAGCCAGCATGTTGTCCCAATGTACTATTCGCTAGTGCCTTAGCAAACGCACAGCCGATGTCATATGCACAGGCACCATTTTGGCCATAAACTGTTAGCAGGTGATCAATGATGGCCAAAGGATACTTAGCACTAGAGACTTGCCAGTTAAGATAAATTGAATGAAAAAATTAAATGTCGTACAGTTCACCACTTTTGACCATATCGCAGGCGAGGAGCACAAACTGATGGTGGCAAGCAGCAATAAAGATGCCAGATTCATCAAATATAGCAAACATCCACTTATGTTGTTCAGGACCAGCATTTCGCCACCAGTCATTGCAAGCGAATGAAGGCACTGATTGATTTGGGGGCTTGACATCTTGCCAGTCATCATTATTTGTTGTCGTATTCTATTTATCATTGAGTTCCAGAGTCGTAGACTTGTAGCAATGAAAGGACTTACTAATTGTCCCCGCACATCATTCTTAAAGCGGTCAACCATTGTACGGTCAAGCCAATAGTCAGTACGGAACTTGCGCAGATCAGCTCACATGGTGCTGCCATCTATTGACGATGACCATCGCTTTAAGCTAGTATTGCCATCAATAGTCACCAGCCACTCGAAGGCGAGGTTTTCCTCGTCCTCTAATTTGTAGAAACAGCAGGGACATGAGTTGAGAAGGCGCCAGTTAGGTGTATTGCGGCCAAGCACTTCATTGATAAGGGAGTCGACACAATGTGTGATTTCAAGGTACACGTCGTAAGTGTCTGAAAATTGCATGTTGAAATATGATCAATATGGAATCTAGAACAGAATTCATAATCAATTAGTACATAACAGGCACAGAACCAATAGCATACATTGTGAAGATGACATAAAGCCTTACATTGTGCTTGAATACTGAATTGGGGACAAGTGCGATGAGACTGTCGATATGCAGCAAGTGTGCGGATGGAGATGGCGATGGTCGGATATAGTGGAGAGCAACCCAAATATCCATGATATATCAGTGTTTCATTTGGATATTTGTGAGATGGTCAAAGTTGTAGAGAGGTGCACTTTTGACCTGGACAATATTAATTATGAAGCCTGGAAAGATGCCATGTACTTACTAAAGATGTCAACTAAGTCAATGTTCTTGAGAGATAGAGAATCATCGCCCAGTGTTAGCTCCTCCAAGGCATTACGTGGCATACTGTCACCACAATCTCGGGCACAATAGTTCAAGTACACCTCCACCAGACGGTCCATCTGAATGTCCCAATTTTCATTTTGAACTTCAATGCGATCGGTATGAGTTCGTGGGTCCATGTAGCGGCTGAAACACACCAGCACCACATCAGTAGGTACAAGACTTTGTTGAACGTTGAATACCATACCATCCTGAGATGTTGGCCATTTGTTGAGCCAAACCTTCAAAACGCCTTGTACTCACTGCCCTCGTGACTGAGCTCTACTTCCTCTTCACCAGGCGGCAGACTGTAAGGTATACTTTCTGGCTGTATGTCAACGCTACTCTCGGCAAACATGTTCTCAATGATGTCTCGATCCTTGTTGGTCATTTCTGCAAGAAATTAGATGAATATATGGATAGTCAGTCAGAAGGTACTCACCCTGTATGTGCAACCTTCGCTTTGCATCTGTTTCCTCTCTTCGCTGCCCTTGTTTCCCAGCTGTCAATACTCCAGACGTTCGAATTGAGTGCTTGAATCCATGGGTGGTTGCGGCCTTGGAAAGTCCAGTAACTTTCCTAGAAGATCCACCAAACATATGGTGTAGTCATATGATAGGAATGGCGGTAGAGGGCACTGGCAACGACGATGAGCAAGAGCAAGGGGCGTGAGAACCCCACCTGAAAGAAACACGTACCTTTACCGAAAGCGTAAAGGGATATCTAAGGTCTGGGGTGATTTGGGACAGGATTTAATGCTGGTGTTGGGTATTATCGTAACTAAGCCTAATAATACTTAGTGATACGCGTGTTCACCCAGTATAGTAAGGCTTGCTTATTGGGAAGGTCAGGTGAACTTAGCCGGAGTAACATCCCTCAGGCATGTACTGCGCTGTTTCGTTGATGTGATCGCCAACTTAGGTCCGCAATATTGGCCCGAGCAACTTCCATCAGACATGTACTGCGCTGTTTTGTTGATGTGATCGCCAACTTAGGTCCGCAATATCAAATGCATTGGCCCGAGTGACTTCCCCCAGGCATGTACTGTTTAACCAACGTTATGGCATTCCAAATGCCGAAACAGAGCTGTTTTGTACTAGACTCATCATTTCAAGCTACCTTCTTATCTCATTACTAGACACGAGGCTCACGATACCACGCGTACAGGTTCGTACAATGGTGCCACCGAGATGGCCGTAGTACCCCGAACAACTGGATTTCCAATTACGAGAATAGTCGCTTATCTGTATTTGAGGTAAATACTTATAGTCTTCTCTTGCAGTATTGGTCTTATCAGGTACGATGAGTCTGACCGCTGCAGGGGCGATCGGCGAGCACACTGTGCCCAGCGAGAAAGGTCTTAGCACTTAGTGACAACTCGTTCGATGGAAAAGGCGACGTTGAAACTGCAACAGTTGATGCTGACTCGGACAGCGAGGAAGGCGTGCTCTCCAACGAACGTGAGATTGCTACGCACGTCATCTCGGTGGACGACGACCCTTCTCTTGAACCCGTGGACATTCCGTGCATTCTTTATTGGTCTTGGCCTCTCAACCTTTGGTGGAGTACTCGGTGAGCTTCTTTGAGTTCGTTTTTAGCCAGTATGATATTCATCAATGTCAATTTGTAGCGGAAATCTATTATTTCAAGCCTGTGCGTAGTAAAGCAAGCATGACGACTTTATGTGCTCATATCATTGCCGCAGCAACGGTTTATGTGTCATTGATGTTCCTCGCGGTTGTTTCTTATATCCTGGGCATCTTCATGGAGCCTTTATTCCTCGTCGCGGACTCCTGCGCTATCTGAACCCCGTAAGCTAGTTTACCCTCGCTCGTTCCCCCTCATTCTAAGCATGTTTCACAGGGACCGTTCAACAAGAAAAGAAAATGCTTTCGTTGTGATCATGGCAAGCGCCTCTGCTAACTCCGCCTTAGGTACCGAAGTTCTTGCTGTCCAGCGGTCAGTGACCCTTACTCGTATTGACGGAATTTACTGATCTTTGCTAAAGATTGTATTACAATATCACGCCCAATGCCGGTGCCTCAGTGTTCCTACTCTTCTCTTCTCAACTTCTTGGGTACGAGAATTTTTGTTGAAGTTCCAGCGGACGCTGACAAAGTTTCAGTTATGGAATTGGTGGCATGATGAGAAGTATGTCCACAATTGAGTCTGTTGTTGAACCCATGTTCACATACATCTACCAGGCATCCTGTTATATCCATCAAAGATGTTATACCCCGGTGTGCTACCATTGCTGTCCATGTTCGATGCTCTCTACGAGGGCGGGATGACAGCACGGAAAAAGCTCAGAGTCTTTTACATTGTGTTTACTGCGTAAGTCCCTCGATTAAGACCGGCAATGATCAAACACTGATCGACTCAGTATCTTTTTTTGGGAGCTTTTCCCAGAATGGATCTTTCCGCTTCTGACCGGGTTGTCAATTATGTGTCTTGCAGCTCCCAACAATGCCGCCGTCTCGCGAGTGTTTGGTGGTACAAACGGTAACGAGGGTCTAGGGCTCCTGTCTTTGCTTTGACTGGCAAGTAAGTGTGAAACGAACTTCGAAGTGGATCGCGTTACTGACTGGATCTGCGACAGTATATTTCTGGCGGGGTGAACCCTATGACTATCCGCTGAAAGCACAGGTTTGACCTCTTCTCAATCCGAGGGCCAGAAGCCTTACATATTTTTGGACAGTTCGCGAATTTACTGGGCTACCTCCTTTGCATGTGCGATCACTCCGCCCTGATTCGAGACCTTGCATTGACTTATGTCTAGGGTTGTGTTTGTGGCTGTATATTACAACAACATCTGGAAGGCCCAGAACTTCCCATTCGTTAGTCTACATTCATGTGCAACGGCAGAACATTGACGCCAACTCCCCACAGCTTTCTCAACTCTTGTTCTATGAAAACGGAACACAGTACAATCAAACACTCATTCTCAATTCCAACTATCAAGTCGATCCCACACTGCTTGCTGAACAAGGAATACCTTACTATTCCAGCACTTGGATAGTCAACT